AAGCCATGGAGCCAGAGATTATTTCGGCAGCAACGTAATAACGGCAGGCAGTATTGTTGGAAAAGGGGTGCAATCTGCTGAGCCTATAGAGATAAACAAGTATTGCTGACCTGGTTTACAGAAGAAGTACATATTCCCCTGGCGTTGTTGCAGAAAAGGTTACCATGGGAACACGATACCAACATATCACTGCATTAACCTGTAGTACATAAGCATGTTGTCTCATCACGAACGCTTTCATAATGATCATCAATTACCGAACCCTGCGTGTACTAAATAAAGAATCACTCCATCAGTCCACAAGCCTCTGTAACCTGCCGACTGTCGTCATCAGGGACGTAAACACGAATCAATAGCGTTTGCCCTCGTTTCACTCAGAAGTTAGGCTCCATCTTGAGCCAACTTTACCCCCTTTGTCTCCCATAGTAGACTGCCTGGTCTGTCTCGCGATTTACTTCAATTAAAGTGCCGGTTAAATCTAAACCAACCGATTTGTTTGGCTCTCACATCTTTGGCTGCTCCTGTAAGATCGATGGTTCTCTGAAGAGCGTGAGCATTCCTAGAAGTTAAGAACAATTACATTGAGGTATTTGTAGCAATAGGAGCTTGATTCATTGTCTTGCCAGGCAAAATAGCCCCTTTAATCCATTGCAACTCACGAAGCCTTGTAAAGAGCATTAAGGGAAATAGTATGTTCCTGTTCGTGGCTTAAATGTTTATCGACTAGATGCACAAACTAAACTTAAATGCCTACCTCGAAATGATATCTTGTTAATTTAAGTTTGAGGGGCGTGAAAAAGGTTCACACAAAACAACTCTGGATGTAACCATTTCTTAACATTCGATACAACCACACTAAGTATCTCGAAGCTCAAATATTCCCAATGCGTCGCTACTTATCCCATTTGAGGGGCAGGAATAAAACAAAACACTCCGGATGTAACAATTCGGGAACATTTGTATACAACCATGACAAGTTTTAGCAGTCTTAACATTGCTAAAATATTGTCAATGCGATTTTAAATTAACTAACTCCCTCTCTCGGGTGTTGGAGGAGTGGGTAGCTTAACTATAAAAGTTTAGTGCCTCAGCTATTTCTGGAATTCTTTCATTTTATTGAAAGTACTATATTTGTGGCAAAACTCCATTCTCGCTTATAATGATATCATGAAGAGAATGAAGAGATTGACGTTCATTACACTTGATGTATACTGTCATATAGTGTTTATAACATCACGAACAGATTAACATGCACTGCACTTGATGTATAATGTTATATAGTGTTTATAATGATATCATTCATACGTATAACACTCTTCGAACATCACGAACAGAGTAACATGCACTGCACTTGATGTATAATGTTATATAGTGTTTATAATGATATCATTCATACGTATAACACTCTTCGAACATCACGAACAGAGTAACATGCACTGCACTTGATGTATAATGTTATATAGTGTTTATAATGATATCATTCATACGTATAACACTCTTCGAACATCGCGAACAGATTAACATGCACTGCACTTGATGTATTAAGTTAAATAGTGTCTATAATGATATCATTCATACGTATAACGCTCTTCGAACATCACGAACAGATTAACATGCACTGCACTTGATGTATAATGTTATATAGTGTTTATAATGATATCATTCATACGTATAACACTCTTCGAACATCACGGAACAGATTAACATGCACTGCACTTGATGTATAATGTTATATAGTGTTTATAATGATATCATTCATACGTATAACACACTTCGAACATCACGAACAGATTAACATGCACTGCACTTGATGTATAATGTTATATAGTGTTTATAATGATATCATTCATACGTATAACACTCTTCGAACATCACGAACAGATTAACATGCACTGCACTTGATGTATAATGTTATATAGTGTTTATAATGATATCATTCATACGTATAACACTCTTCGAACATCACGAACAGAGTAACATGCACTGCACTTGATGTATAATGTTATATAGTGTTTATAATGATATCATTCATACGTATAACACTCTTCGAACATCACAAACAGATTAACATGCACTGCACTTGATGTATAATGTTATATAGTGTTTATAATGATATCATTCATACGTATAACATTCTTCGAACATCACGAACAGATTAACATGCACTGCACTTGATGTATAATGTTATATAGTGCTGCTGGCACAGTAATTGTAAACACATACCACATACATGATAATTAACAAACACTTGTTTATTCGTGCAAAATTCATGTTGGCAATTCTACCAACAACAGACTCGTTCAGAATAGCCAACCATTCCAACTCCACACATTCCACACATACGACGACAGTAGAGATCAAGCAGGCTTTCCAAAAGGGCGTGATGTGTTCACCTTTCCCGTGAACACCTGGTGTCCTTCTGGCATTACGGCGATTAGTGGACGCTGGCATTTCATGACACCAGTCCGTTCTGCTATTACTTGACTGTTACATTAGCAGAGCGAAGCAGGCCTGTTGGGCCCCTCTACGGCAATGACATTTAAACGTGGTATGGGCCAGATTAAAGGGTGCTGAGCTGTCAAATATATATTATTGATACGTTTCTGGGCCTCTGGTCAAGTTCTAGTGTTTCCCCCAGGATTATGAAAGGGCAGGGTAGACTCAGAGAAAAAAGGGCACTTTAAAATTCAAAAGGGCATTCAGCAAACAAAAAAGGCACAACAATTAAGGGTTCAATAATTTACTGTGGATGACATAATTTGGGTCTGTTTGGCATGCTTTGATGCAAAGTTCATAAAATTATTCGTCCATATTCTCCTCTTCTTTCGTGCCAAGAACTTGGCCACACATTTCCTCAAGTCAATGTCAGTAGAAGACTTAGCATTCATGCTGACCATAAGTAGCTTGGTGCAGTTATTTACTTTCAGCCTGTTCCTATGGTCTGTCACAATGACAGGGCGCTGAATATAAAGGGCAGGGCGCTGCGCCCTGCCAAATATGCCTGGGGGACAACTGATGACTGCATCATTAGTGAAGTGAGTTCACACACCAGTGCAATCAGTGCAATCAGTTCCCGTCTGGACGATATGGTCAAACCTATTTCCACCTTACTGCCTTCAAAACAGATATCGGTTATTACGAAGTATGGATATCTCGACATATATATCGAAATCTTTTCGGAAGTATACAATGTAGGACACTTGTTAATTGTTAGGATTACGTCTACATAGTTATACAAAGTCTGCAACTGCCCATTGTTATAAAGAGTCGAGACATCCAAAATCAACTGTACATTCAAGACTACACTTTTATATGGCGTCGAGATATCCGAAGTCTATAATATCATGTACATGTCTCCAACTGTTACAGTCCAAACTACACTGTTATACGTAGTCGAGATATCCGGAGTCTATAATATCATGTACATGTCTCCAACTGTCACAGTCCAAACTACACTGTTATACGTAGTCGAGATATCCGGAGTCTATAATATCATGTACATGTCTCCAACTGTTACAGTCGAGACTACTCTGTTATACATACTCGAGATATCCGAAGTCTATAATATCATGTACATGTCTCCAACTGTTACAGTCCAGACGGCGCTGTTATACATACTCGAGATATCCGAAGTCTATAATATCATGTACATGTTTCCAACTGTCACAGTCAAACTACACTGTTATACGTAGTCGAGATATCCGGAGTCTATAATATCATGTACATGTCTCCAACTGTTACAGTCCAACCTACACTGTTATACGTAGTCGAGATATCCGGAGTCTATAATATCATGTACATGTCTCCAACTGTCACAGTCCAAACTACACTGTTATACGTAGTCGAGATATCCGAAGTCTATAATATCATGTACATGTCTCCAACTGTCACAGTCCAAACTACACTGTTATACGTAGTCGAGATATCCGGAGTCTATAATATCATGTACATGTCTCCAACTGTCACAGTCCAAACTACACTGTTATACGTAGTCGAGATATCCGAGTCTATAATATCATGTACATGTCTCCAACTGTCACAGTCCAAACTACACTGTTATACGTAGTCGAGATATCCGGAGTCTATACTATCATGTACATGTCTCCAACTGTTACAGTCCAGACGGCGCTGTTATACATACTGTTATACGTAGTCGAGATATCCGAAGTCTATAATATCATGTACATGTCTCCAACTGTTACAGTCCAAACTACATTGTTATACATACTCGAGATATCCGAAGTCTATAATATCATGTACATGTCTCCAACTGTCACAGTCCAAACTACACTGTTATACGTAGTCGAGATATCCGGAGTCTATAATATCATGTACATGTCTCCAACTGTTACAGTCCAGACGGCGCTGTTATACATAGTCGAGATATCCGGAGTCTATAATATCATGTACATGTCTCTAACTGTTACAGTCCAGACGGCGCTGTTATACATAGTCGAGATATCCGGAGTCTATAATATCATATAGATGATCCCAGCTGTTACAGTCCAGATAACTTTGTTGTATGTAGTCGAGATATCCGGAGACTATCATATCATGTAGATATCTCAAGCTGTAACAGTCCAGACGGCGTTGTTATGCATAGTCGAGATATCCGGAGTTTATAATATCATGCTGATGTCTCAAACTGTAACAGTCTACGTCGATTCCCTACGTTTACGTTAACGCTAGATACAAAGTTATAATGAAGACATGCCTTCCCAATATAATGCATTAGATTAGCAAATACAAAAGCAAATGATTTCCCACCTCATAATATAGTACAAAGTCTGCGCTGTTGAACAGGACACTATACGAATAGAGATACTATTGAATCGGTTAAGTTTAAGTTGTAGAAACTGAACCGTCAGGACAGAAAAATACCATATAGTATAGACAAGTGCACCCACTTCCCAAGTATGATAAGCATTAACATACAAATGTCTCGCCGTCTCATACCCTTTTATCGATGATTGTGGCAATATTATCATTACTGATAGAACAATGTGAAAATCTTTCCATAATTGTAGTTTTATTCATACACATATTATTTAATTCCTCAAAATATCGCACCCTAGGTCATTCCGTCATAGTTCATACCAAATATCAGTCACTGTAGTGTATAAACATAATTCTTATTAGACAAGTAGCGTCATTACCATAAACAGATTTTACTGTGCCACGTATTCGGACCTGGTAATAGCGAAGTACCTTAATGTACTGTGGATGGGATTTGCTGAAACCTATAACAATAATGACCAAACGCTCCCGCGAGGGTCTGCAACATTCGGTTATCCTTGAAACAAATTGCCCAATGGCTGAACCTCGCGGGTTGCAAAGTTCATTTATTATCAAGGGCTCAGTTTGGTGAGATAATTTGGTAGTATTCCTACTGTCCGACACCCTAGCGGTACCTTCATTGCTACTACAACGTCTGTACCTTATGATACCAACACTCTTTACCAAAGATAAAAATGATAATATGTTAGTACTCAGTGGGATGAATTTCGTACGTGTTCGAACAGAGTATTCATTCCATACCAATATGCGATGTACAAGGCTTTCATTAGGATAAATTAGTTTTTAGATTCAAATTGTGATAACTTTCTAATGTTTTACTGTCCTTTGCGACAGATCTTATAGTTAAACCAAATGTTTCTCCTCACTATATGGCCGACAAATTGCCGATGTGACGTAAACTTTTAACTCACTCAGTGATTAGGATGAGTGAGGGAGTTGGGTTTATTGCCGACACTATTCGGACTGTGAGTGAGTGGATGGGTGAGTTGTGTTATCACTTCAATAAGTGAAGTACAAACAAAATTAAATGACGAAGGTTGCATATCACAATAATTTATTATTAAGTTATTATTTGAGTGAGTGAGGTTAGTTTTACGCCGCTTTTAGCAATATTCCAGCAAAATCACGTCGGGGTACACCAGAGATGGGCTTCACACATTGTAATCATGTGGGGATTCGAACCCGGGTCTTGGGCGTGACGAGCGAACGCTTTAACCACTAGGCTACCCCACCGTCCCTATTCATGTTGTATCATGGCGCGAAAGCTTAATTGGTAAACCCGAGGTGAAATCGGTCTACACCTTTGGTGAAACCCACGAGCTTTGGTGCAGACAAACACAGAGATATAGGTGGCGCGAACTGGGATTCGAACCCACAATCCTAGGTTTCTGTCGTACCCAAAGAACAGAACCACGCACATGGAAATTACGGCACTTTAGACGACTAGGTTACCACGCTTACTCATAAGGTCGGAGATATCAACAGCTGAATGCATGGAGTAGTTTTAATGTGAATATTTTCACGAGTTCTGTAATGCTGTGACTACTTTCATCTTAAAAGAGTAAAAATACATACCGAATAATGAACGATTGTGTTTCATATGACAGAATGTGTGTGTGTGTATTTATTTTCTTGGAATATCACCTTGAAGTACTAGACAGATGGGCTTAACGCATCTTATCCATGTGGAGCATCAAACCCGGGCCTTTGGTGTGACGAGCTTGAACGCCTTAACCACTCGGCTACCCCAATACCTGTATTACCCTGTAATAGTTCCAGTCGGTGGGCCCATAAGTGGCTAACGGATAGCCCGCGATGGCGTCTACCATCATTCTATGTATATGATAAGGAAACACCTGTGTCACACTCCAATAGTATCAAATATACGGTGTAATTTCTGAATTATTGGATACTGTGGGGTAGGCTAGTGGTTAAAGCGTCCGCTCGTCACGCCAAGCCCCGGGTTCGAGTCCCCACATGGGACTAATGTGTGAAGCCTATTCCTGGTGTCTCCCGTCGGAGTATAACTAAAAGCTCACGCACCCTATATTATGAAGTCCAGGCTTTTCGACTTCCATTGCTTCCAACTATCTTTAACTAACTTTAATTCCAGTTAAACTAGCCATGGGTGAAACCAAACTTCTTATATTAAGCAATATTTTTTTCAAATGTACGAATTGTGTTGTTTTTATTACCCTCATGTGTCTCTTGACCTTACATTTGCCTTTGGTTTTGATTGGCATGTTTATAAATGTTTTAACACGTCCATTAAATGTTTCTTACACGAGAAGAATACTGATTTCCTTCTCTGTACTGGTATTCGTCTTTTACGTCCCTTTTGTATATTAAGTGCTTGTTTGTACTTACCAATTAAGGGTGAAATGGCTATTTGTTTTGAGTGCTGTTTTGAACTCTGCACATCCACAGGAAGACTTCGATCACTGTTTCTGATGCTATAATTTGAAACAGTGTACCGAGCACAGTGCACATCTTAAAAGCAATCTAAATACAAACACTGCTTTATAAGTCTTCAAGCATATAACTTCCTTTACATACCACCAACGTTCGCATCCTTCAATTCAAGAACACGTGCGTGTCCGGTTTTCACCGATCCGAATTTGAGTTCAGCCAATCAGAAACGACGTAACGTAACCAGACCTAAATTACGGGCCTTATCAGAGATCTCGCTTATTGAGTGAAAACACTACAATTAAAAGCTATTTTACATTGTGTTTTCAGCCATTGACGAGTGCAAGTAAAATTTGCGAAGCTATAAAGTTTTCTGTTATCTTACTTTAGCCGTGAGAGGCTGGAGATAGCGTTCCCCGGCCGGAGTGTCCAGTCACTTGGCTGTCTCTCACAGTATTGATTGAATAGCCCTTTTGAGTGTTTGCTTACACTTAATCAGGGGGCATAATCGAAGCCGAAGAAACACACATTTCCACTCGTGACGCGCCGTGGTTGATTGACAGTCTCGCAGAAATGGGGGATGGGGGTGGGGGGGGTTTTTGGGGGGGCAGTCTGATTGGAGCGCGAGGGTTAGTTCTAAGCACTAAACTTTTGAAATTCGTACAAATAAAACGACTGCTTGATATATGCAAGCTCATCATGCAGTTTTGAATATATGCCTGTGTGTGAATTATTAACATGTATTATGTGATAATTATATATTTCAACTTTTTTTAAATATGTGAAACGCTTTAACCACAATGCTACCCCACTGCCCTCTCTGGCGTTTTTATCCAGGTGAGGAAGTTGAGTGGTTAAAGCGATCGCTGGTCACACGGGTTGCATTTTCAGACATCGCTACAATGTGCGAATCTCATACCATGTAGATTTCCCGCCACCATATTGCAAGAACGTTCCAAACGGTGCGAAATCGACTAAATCCCCCAGTGATATTGAATACAGCGGCAACGTTTCTATCATAACATGATTTAACTGCGACAAATCAGATAAGCAGAGTGTTGTTCTTTAAGAGCGACAGTAGTAACTTATAATCTTTGAATCTTAATCTATAATTTATCATTATGCGCCTAAGCACGGTAATGTCAAATACGAGATCTTCCAACACATTACCATTATAAAATAAACTTAAAGATCCTTTATTCAGTCAAATTGAAATGATTATGTCCAAAAGCATATATTTCATCCCATTCTACATGAAAAGAGTAATTGATCAAATAGAATAACATAACCATGGACACATCTCCCTTAAGGAATTCTCCTCTATGTCTAGGGCGGTGGGGTAGTGGTTAAAGCGTTCGCTCGTCACGCCGAAAACCCGGGTTCAATTCCCCACATGGGTACAATGTGTGAAGCCCATTTCTGGTGTCCCCCGCCGTGATTTTGCTGGAATATTGCTAACAGCGGCGCAAGACCAAAAGTCACTCACTCACTCCTCTATGTCTTGCTTTTTCATGTCATCAATCACACGACTGAGTGACTGAGCGTAAAAGTATGTATGTTGAAACGACAATAGTAAGCAACTTTCGTTAGTGTCGCATCTGTGGCTTGTTAATGGCAAGGTTCCTTGAAATTAACATCTATAACTGTTGCTAATATCACGGCAGATTCGGAGCTGACGTCATAATAGCTGATAATATACATCCCCTATTTCCCTGTCACACTGAGATTATATATGATTGATTTACTGGGATTCGGTCGTGTCACAGATAATTCTCCTATATCATCCATAGCGGACGTGGAATTATTTCTTGTAGCGGGATAACTTGTGTACTTGCTGTCATTAAAAAGAGGACAACACTGAATCAACAAAAACTAAATGAGGGAAAATTTATATTTTAGCTCACCTGACAGAAAGTCAAGTGCCTATTCTCTCCTAATCCATATTTGCCTCTGTAATCTTCCGCTCAATCTTCTGGTTCTCTTGAGCTGATGGACGGTGGGGTAGCCTAGAGGATAAAGCGTTGGCTCGTCACGCTGAAGACCCGGGTTCGATTCCCCAAATGGGTACAATGTGTGAAGCCCATTTCTGGTGTCCCCCGCTGTGATATTGATGGAATATTGCTAACAGCGGCGTAAAACTAAACTCACTCACTCACTCTCCTGAGCTGAAATGTGTCCGTCGCTGTGTTTCTCCAGGTAATGATGTCAAGTGTTTACATGAACACAGTACAATAAATCATATTGTTAGTTTTTAACATCAATTAACAAGGTATTTTAATATAGATGCATCTTTTGTTTAGAGTGTGTAGGTGATTTCTGATTGTTGGCTACATATTCTCGTGACTTACTTCTTTTCTTTTTTTTTGTCACAAGATTTTACCATTGTATTATGGACAGTTTTTAAGCATCTGAACGTAAGGTATTTCGGGCAAAGCTGATATAGACGGAGTCACAATCGAGACCATTTTTTCCAGACTGGAACAGTTGGCAATCTGTTTATTTTGTAAGTCAAATGTGTCAATTTAAAGCTGATGTTTCGAAAAAATACTTCTCACAATAATAATCACAATCACAATCATCATCGTCATCATCATGTTAGCCCCCTTTATGCATTTATATTAATGATGATGATGATGATGATGATGATGATGATGATGATGATGATGATGATGGTGGTGGTGGTGGTGGTGGTGATTATGATGATGATGACGATGACCTTTGTAAAACCTTTGTGCTATCGGCATACGGCGACTGGCCATCAGCCCGGACGCAGAGCCCCCAACAAACAGTGAATGGCCATGCATGCATGTCCATAGTTCCTGACTATGGACAATGGGAGTGCAGCAGAGGAGAGCAGTCCAGCAGTGCAGTACAGCTGTTCAGTACAGCAAGTGCAGTAGAGCAATGATATTCTGATGTTAATGTACACCATGTATATGCACTGAAATATTCAAATTGGAAATAACAAACGGAAAACAAACAAACCGTTACCTAAACACCGCAGACTTCAGATCCAACCACAAGTATGGTACCTGCATTGAATACATCACAGTCCAGTAATATTTTGGTACTTTTAGCCACAAACAAGCATGGTTGTATACTTCTTTTGCCCGGTAATTTGTTTTAATATAAACGAATTATATCTGATGCCTTTAAACCAAACAGTTAACTAGTACCGCTCCGGGCGCGGACTTAATGGCAAGGCATACCGTGTACCATACAATTATCTAAAAGTCGTACTAATCAAATTTCAGTCGACATAATCTTTATTTACGTCGAACGCCATCTGGGAACAATTCAGAAAACGCGCTTGATTAAGGGGAGATTACTCTTGATTAATAGTCCCTACAATTACCGCAATCAAATTAACCTCGACTAGACCTGTCAAAATTGGATTAACCAGAATGTAAAGTCGAATCGATCGTGCATTGTACTAAACTTTCAAGAAATACGATTGCCGTGGAGTCCAGTAAAGTTAAAATGACATTGCTGTCTCTTGTTGAGGAAGTTGCAAAGTATCTCCTTAAACTGACAACTGAAGACATGAGAGGAGCGCGACACTCTAAAACACACGCCTATCATATTATATGATATGTCATAATCTGTATTAGGAATGAAAGACGTGAAGCTTAGGATTATAGATGCATTCCAGTGACAGCTTTGGAAGATCGCCGCTGCTACTAACAGGTTTCAGTCGGCGGGGATGGTGATGATGGTAATGGGGGGGTGGGGGTGGGGGAACAGTTGCAAGGACAGGATGGAATTAGGTGGAAACTTAAGGAACATTAACTTACATTTACGCTCATACCATCTAATCTAATCCCATGTTTCATCTACGGGCATGAATACCATAAACAGTTTGAGTCAAACAGTTTCCGGTCTGACAACCTCATGTACAACATATGGTAGCCTATCCCAAAGTCCCTGAAGCACATAATGTGACATTATTTTCCCTTCCACTCAGCCTATTCTGCAATTGTTAAAGTAAAGTCCAAGAGAAGCAAGTCTACTTTTTTTCTCCGGCTCAGGATCTCATTTTCTTTCTTTTTTTCTCTTTTTCTTTTTTTTTCTTTTTTTGTTTTTTGCCTATTTTACTGAGCCAGCACTCTATACCATTACCAGATACATTGTACTGATAAGAATTCGGCCCCTCCTTGTTTTGTCCTTAAAGCAAGCGCCAAGCAGGGTAATAACAAGTGCGTTTCTTTAATATATATTGTTTTGACTCGGCCGGGTAACAAACCATCGGCCTGTCGCTCTCAGATGCTCCGTCCATTGGACCAGGAAGGCGATTCCGTCTGAAAGTAAAGCTCTGGGACCAGAGTATCCCAGAACTGCTTCCACCATCATATCAGGCTTTCGTTGATCATCAGAATCTACTTTGCGGAGCGGTGGGGTAGGCCAGTTGATTAGGTGTTCTCTCGTCACGTCGAAGACCCAGGTTCGATTCCATCATGGGTACAATGAAGCCCATTTCCGGTGTCCCGAATTTGATATTGCTGGAATATTGCTCAAAGCGGCGTAAAACCATACTCACTCACTCTTGTAACTCAGGAGCGTATCCAAGTGTGGAGGTCTGCTGAACGGACTTGGCTATTTCCTCATGGCAACATTGACGTCTTTTTTATTTTTCTGTTGCAGCAGATTACACCATTCCAAGAAATCAAATTTGGAAAATCGATGTTCTTGTTGACGAAACCTGTTGGTATAATCTTGATGTCGAACGCGATTCCTTGAATTCAACGACATTAAATTTGTCTGTTTTATTTTACAAATCTGTAACCTGGTATCAGATGAAGCTTCTGATCAATGAAATATTGAACATGGAACATCTTTGAAATATTCCGAAGGGAATTACAGTTAACTCGCCCAGCACTTACAAACTCTGTGTAGTATCAGAGCGTTGAGAACCCGGCCATTATACCAGGCACGAACTTCCAGCTTCGATACAGTGTTAATCTTAAAGGTGGAGCATGGTATTATTTCATTATTGCTCGCCGGCAAACCTTTCATCTTTAATTCAGATCCTGACATGATGCGAAACGTACTGATTAACTATTCACGCACGGTGGACAGGCGGAGTTTTAAAACTTGTCATCTAGGCTTTCGGATCAAAATGGCGATCATAACAAAAAATGAGATGAAGTGGCAAGATATTGATTAAAACTTAGTCACTATCGTGCCTTTTTGGTCCATTAGTTCAAATTATAGACAACCGTTCGTTTAATATCCCTTATCAGATTGATGGGCTCAAAGATTTCATTTCAGGCCACCTTTTTGGCCAAGTCGGGTGCATTGTGAACTTTTGACTTCCCGCGCTTTCAAGAAAGGGTCGTCTGCCGCTCCTGTCGTCTGCGCCAACTGTCAGTGTCCTCGCTGCACGCGATGAACTCATCTTTAAGACGCAGAGTGTAAAGTAGGGATGACAGGAAAGGATGAATTTGGCATCTGAGAACCTAAGAAAGAGGTAGCTCCAGTCGGGACTACTGTCGTACGACATCACGCAATCCTGGTCAAAACTGGGCAAGTTGGACAAGCATCACGCAATGAAAGAGTCTATCAGGGAGGTGGTTTGCGCCTCTGCAGACAGCAAAACCCTGTGTGCTTAGCAGGAGGAAGAGGGCTTATAAAACTAATGCGTGGAAGTTAAAATGAGCAGTCTTTATTGTTCCCTGAGGTAGCACCAAATTTCCACCGTAATGATTTAGCCCCGTTGGCGAACTGGAAGCGACGAGAGTCCCTCGCCAACGGCCCATAGCAGTCGAGGAAGGCTTCTTCTCTGATCACGGTGGAAATTCGACAAATGATCTAATGAGCTCGACAACAGCAATATGTTTCTATTCGCTCGGCCTCGGAATACACAATAAGATGGCGTGAGCCTATCTGCCGCCGAATCAATAAAGAAGTTCCGCAGTGGCCATCCCCCAAGCCCTGTACTGTCTTCAACTGCCGGCTGGAAGACCGGGATTTTATTAAATGTTCGCCATGGCGTCTCCAACAAGGTCTTTGACAGCTCTCGTCGGAAATATGCTTTCGAGAAAATATGTTTGGCATCAATCCGACGTTGCCTTTTTAAATGGCCCTCATCATCCCTTGTCAAAATCTTAAAATGAACACCGCCAGATTTTTTTGGAAAAGTCGGAAATCGACTCCCGGCAATGTATCTTGAGGGAGATTGAATTATCCTCGGTGTTTGCTTGGGCCACGGACAAAGCTCATCAAGCCAAGGGCCTTTGGAGAATCGTTCAAAGCAGCCTGGATCAAAACAGCCACTTTGGACGGACGTTTCATTTAATTTGCCTATCCTGATAAAAGGGCCGTTAGGATAACATGCGGTATAGATGCATTGATAAAAGTATCACGAGCCCAAAGATTTAGGGTCGCCAGAGGACCCATAAGCTTTTCACCAGCTCCAATTTCATAATTGATACTTTTATGCCCAATTGGCTGCCTTGTTTATATAGAAGCACCGACACATATGAGACCAGCGACGGAATTCTTGATGGCCCAGTCCCAAGCGTCATCACTGCCACACACGCGCGTGGTCTCCAAACTTTATGAGCAACTTATAATAGCAGAATTCTCGTCAACGTTTTCTCCTCAATTTTGACTGCCACACGCTAAGGACACTTTGTTTAATCTAATTTTCCTCACTTCCATTTAAATGTTTGGATGGAGCACGATATTGCACAAAGGCGAAAACCAACCGATGAATTCTTGGAATATTTCCCACCAAACGTATATATAATTTTTATAAAATATATGAATATTCCATATCGCTGACTTCAGTGTCTATGAGTTACATATTTGCGTGAAATCAAATCCAGCGAGGCACAAAAATTTCTTGAATTCTTGCGACATGCAAAACAGCCTTTATTCATGAGATTGCTTTTAGGAGACACATTTTTAAATCAATGTGTGTGAACGTTGTACTTGAATTTATTTTTCACATTGTTATGATTAGTAGTTATTCAATATCCTAGGTGTGTCCATTCATGTTGTGTTATATTAAATATGGTGTCAATAATATAAATTTAGGTAATGCGACAGAGTACACAGAGGTCCCTTATATTCAGACGTATTATTATATTAGACCAAATATGTATAAAATGAATATCCTATTTAACACCAAGAAGCTAGGAACTTTAAGACAACTTTCAATTTTTTGTAAAATAATTATAGCTTTATTTAAGAAATAATTTCAATAACTTAATATGTAACTAGCTTGATGTACATTGCACCTATCATACCGTGTGTATATACTTTTTAGGTTGTATAAATGTAAATATTATTTATGTTCCTCTTATGCTGCAGTTTGCAGCCTGGGTGAATAAAGTCCAGTTCAGTTCAGTCACAAAAACACATAAACTACACAAGAAATCATACACCCACTTTTATGGTGGCTTTTAATGAAACAACCTAGAAACGGCTATTCGATGGCGATGGATTTCATAAGGGTATACTGTGTTTCGGATCTTGTTTCGGCAACGTTTTGGGTAGAGTTTGTATTTTTTATTAATTTTTTTGTTTGTCAAATTCGTTTTATTTCAAGTATACGCATTCTTTTGTCAAGCAGTTTATATACACACATACATAACCGTTACCCTTTTCACATACACACATTTTGTCCTCCTATACAAGATTTCGATATTCGTTGACAAGTCCTTGCGATTCCACACAGAGTGTTATTTTCTGTCTAGATCCCAGACAGGCTTCATGTCACACGATAGGCGATCTCCTTTAAGTGCCATCACGTGTACTTAAACACTTCCAGTTTCTCATTAGGCCGTGTTTGATACGAGTCACGTGACCCTGATCATTAGCTCTCTGGTCGGTATACATAACCACCAGGAATGAGCGGGTGCTATTTATCTCTTAAGGAGTATCCCCTTCTGATAACAACCCTCAAACCCCACTTCTCCCCCTCCTTAAGTTGTCTGGAGGGGTGTGCCCACACTCGATGTCCTATGACGTCACAGCTCGTGTGCAGGTGCAATTGACAAAACGAGCCTGGGCATTGACAAGGGTGCATGCTATCACCCCTTTATTTAGGGTTTGTTTTCTGATTTAATGAGCCGATCTTGAAAGACACTTGTGCAATAATACACAGTTTGTGTAAACCTTCGACGGAAACTGCGCTGGAGTTAATTTGTCTTTAATCATACATTGTGAATTGTTTAGTTCGTGAGTCAACATGGACGAAGAAGACCAATTTGTGAAAGATGCTTCAGATACAATGGTGCAGCCTGTGCGTGTTTATTTGAACGAAATGTTGTACAATGTTTACATACGTATCTCACACAGTCGACCTACAATAAAACCTCGTTAACTCGAAGTCCTGGGGACCATCTACACTAATCGAGTTGTCCGTAGTTCGACACAAGCTGTGTGTTAATATTAGTACACTAATAATGACTTTAACGAGTCCTGTGTCCTTTCCACAAAGCGACATCAGCATTAAAGTGATCGCAGCTAACCTACTAGACTTGCACAAGTCTCTAAGGTAATGATTGATAGTGTAAATGATAATGTCTGGAAAAAAATATATAAATAACAGGGGTCCCTTATCTGGACTTGTCTCCTTAAAGGATAGAATTGCTATGCAAGCAGGGGCTTCGCACTCAGTACAGCCGTTGAGCAAGGCTACTCCGGTACATTTATATGTGCTTTCATTAACCGAAGCGCTCAGATCGCTTGTGGAACAGACCTAGACCATTACAATACGTCCTCTAAATGATAAATAAAGTTAATGGATTTTATTCCATATAATTAAACTGTTCGGAGCCGTACAACAATGTACGTTGTTGTTTGGCGCTGGTGTATGTGCTAAACAAACATAACCAGATGCATTAAGTATACAACACCCGGCCTTAGTATGAGTCATCGTTGAAACACAGGTTAACGGTAAACTCCAGTCAACGTCCACGACATTATAATGTCTGATGGGGTATATGACTTTAACTCGTTGATAATTCTAGCGCCGACTAGTTCATCAACATCTATAACTGTAAACCGATCTTAATGTTAAATATCTCTATTATAATTACAAATATGATATATCAGGGTAAGATCGTGCATGAATATGAAACGTGAGATATGTTTTTCATTTAATTTACAAATAATGAATACGTTTTGATGACTACATTGATATTGTAAAGGTTATTGGACATTTAAAACATCTGACAACCAATTCTGAATTAATGTGGCACCATTGACCTCCCCTTTCTTAACTTGCGTTCATCCTTTTCTGACTGGGTGATAGTTAGAAGCATGTTATCGATCTATACAGGGGATGGTTTAACGTAGAATCAATGATGCAGAGAACTATCTACTCAGTTCAGTACGTTTTGACATATGTTGGACTGATTGCTAATTTATCATTTGTGAAAACTGGTACACGCCTCTACGTGTTTGTGGTAGGTTTTTCGTCGGTTTGACATTGTTTCTAAAATATAATCAATTTGGTTTTGTTGGATTCTTATTGGTTTTCTCCGCGTTCCTGTTTGTTTTCGGAGTGAGCTGAAACTGGTTTAACTTGTGTCGAGTTATGTCCCTTAACATTATCAAGATCCGCTGTTCGTTGGTCGAATCCCAGACAACTGGAATGTTTAGTTTGCACAATACCTGAGTGTATCGTTCAACGGAGTGGTAAACGGGTTACAAACCGCATGACGTTTCTCCCAGATTATGCTGACGCGATATAATTGAAAAAACCCTGAAAATGACAGTAAACCAACTCACTCCATCTCACATTCCCGCGTGAACATACCATATACATATCACGTTTTTCCTGATTTGGGTATTTATATTTCTATGTGGGGTAGCATGCGTTTTATTCGGAGGCTTTGTTTTACATATATTTTTTGTTCATTAAAAGTCATCTTCAATTTAGTGATGAGGCAACACCACAACAGGAACGGTGTTCAACTAACGAATTCCGTCGGTGGATTTCTTTTCATGTTTCTGAAGGCTGAAGCGTTTGTACGTTTGGGCAGTCATTTATAAGAAGCAGGAAAATATGATTATTTGAATAATTGCTGCTTGTAAATCTGTATCATTTAAAGCTTTCATTCAATCTCCATTAAACTGTCCCGAATGAGGAACGCCTGTGCCATTTCACCCACTGACATATATTCTTAAACACCCAAGGCCAGGATCAAGACGCGCCGCAAGATCGAATAACCAGTCGTGAATGAATTAACATATGTATTTGCATTGAGCTGCTTCTAATTACGCAAAACGGCTCTTGTTTACTTGTCGGTCGGCCAGTGACGCTTGTTCCAGTTTCAACTAAAGGGGATGTTTCAGATAGGTGGGGTTGTTTTATCAACTGGGTTTGTTTTCTGACGCATAGGGGTGGGTTGGGGGTGAGGGTGGATGTTTTAACTTCTTTTTCCTGTCCTCATTTCAGAGCCTGAAAGGATTATTCATCAAATCTTCGTTGATGCTTCGGGATTGTTTAATTCGTTTATATAAAAAAATTCAAATGTCGCGCACTTTTTATCTCTTGCTTTAAGGGTTTAACACCGAGGACACGTGGCGAAGTTGTTGTTTGGGTTTGGTTTGTTTTTTTGTTTTGCATTTTTGTGTATATGGGTGGATCATCTTTACGAAAATGTAGAAGAAAAAAACATTGGTGTCACAATATCAAATGTAAACAGCAGCTTTGTGAATGTATTGTTAGAATAACATCATCTTGGAAGGCCCGAGTTCGATTCTCCACATGGGTATAACGTTTGAGTTCCTTTGATGTTTCGATTCATGCACGCGCCAATCAGATACAAGCGTTTGCTCGTCACGCCGAAGACCGGAGTTCAATCTCCACATGGGTGAAATCTGTGAAGGCCATTTCTGGTGTCCCCCACCGTAATATTGCGGGAATATTGCTGAATCGCAGCGTAAAAACTAAACTCACTCACTCAAATAGTTTCTTTGCGATCAACAGTTTTCACTATTATTTCTGTGATCATAAAATTATCTTGTTACTTGTTACATACTTAACATTGACGTTTTGTAGTCACACATCGTACGACTATTTTAGCATAACGAGTGACTAGCCTACCCGATGACCAGGCTGCCGCCCCCTGAAGAAAACCCCTGTAGAGGCCCACAGACTCATATCATAATACTCAGACGTGCAACTCTGACGTTTAGTCTCCGAATATATATAATTTTGATTGTAACAATTAAACCCATTTAAATTGAAAATGAGCCCCAGGGAGACCAGAGATTCAGAACCTGGGGAAATCTAGACTTGCTTCATTTAGGGCTTTAGCATTGCAGGGAGGTCTAGGCTGTAGTGAAAATAATGGGGTTCAAGGACCGTGAGACACCTAATGTTGGAGTACGGGGCGACTCAGATGCAGCGGCGAGGTTTGTTCGATGTGATGGGTATCATTATATCCCTACACCCTTCGACATTGCTCATAATATCAATCACTGGTTTGTCTGCTCTTTGGTTCATTGTTTGTAAGCCCCATCATATAAATGGAATATTACGGTAAACCGTAATTATCATGATTAATTTAATTAACAAACCTATCTACCGCTTTGCCATAGCCACATACGATAGAGCACTGCAACAGGCAGAACAGGCTCATCAGTCACACAATAAAGGGGCGGTGAGGTAGCCGAGTGGTTTAGGCGTTCGCTCGTCACGCCGAAGACCCGGGTTCGATTGATTACATGGGTGCAATGTGTGAAGCCCATTTCTGGTGTCCCCCGCCGTGATATTGCTGGAATATTGCTGAATCGCAGCGTAAAACTAAACTCACCCAGGCTGCCGCCCCTGAAGAAACCCCTGTAGAGGCCCACAGACTCATATCATAATACTCAGACGTGCAACTCTGACGTTTAGTCTCCGAATATATATAATTTTGATTGTAACAATTAAACCCATTTAAATTGAAAATGAGCCCCAGGGAGACCAGAGATTCAGAACCTGGGGAAATCTAGACTTGCTTCATTTAGGGCTTTAGCATTGCAGGGAGGTCTAGGCTGTAGTGAAAATAATGGGGTTCAAGGACCGTGAGACAGACTAGTCCTAATGTTGGAGTACGGGGCGACTCAGATGCAGCGGCGAGGTTTGTTCGATGTGATGGGTATCATTATATCCCTACACCCTTCGACATTGCTCATAATATCAATCACTGGTTTGTCTGCTCTTTGGTTCATTGTTTGTAAGCCCCATCATATAAATGGAATATTACGGTAAACCGTAATTATCATGATTAATTTAATTAACAAACCTATCTACCGCTCTGCCATAGCCACATACGATAGAGCACTGCAACAGGCAGAACAGGCTCATCAGTCACACAATATAGGGGCGGTGAGGTAGCCGAGTGGTTTAGGCGTTCGCTCGTCACGCCGAAGACCCGGGTTCGATTGATTACATGGGTGCAATGTGTGAAGCCCATTTCTGGTGTCCCCCGCCGTGATATTGCTGGAATATTGCTAACAGTAAAACACACCAACTCACTTACAATAAAAAAGGACATTGAGTTTGGGGTTTTTCAACACCTAGATGCAACGTGAAAACATTAAATCACACACGTCTCGTGACAAGTCAAGGTATCTCTCACCACAAGAATATCTCCAAACTTTAACTGAAATGATCAGTCGACCAGTGTTTATATATTGCGAGGATGTTGTTGATACAGCTGAGGGACACATAAGATTACCGTTATTATACCGTCAAAATCGTTGGTGCGTTTAGAGCCCACGCGTGCGGCCTGTATTTAAGTACAACGGTTAGAGATCAAATTAAACAAGAGCTCTACATAAAACTGACAAAGAGGAAATGATGTCCAGTCCCAATGTCCATGTCGCCGGTTGCTGAAAATTAAGTGTTCCCGTCAATGCATTAGCATATCGCCTGCTACTTTCCTCTGTGATGGCGAAAATTGGCCTCGTAACAGATGTCTGCCTTGCCTACCACAGTGGCCTTGTTCGCACTCATTCACTTATTGAGTTTAGAAGACTCTAGGAGAAAAAGCCCCAGTTGAGGCAATTGCCAAAACATGATTAATTCTGGACAAATATATTCTTCCCATGGAGAGATGTTCAACGACACCAACTCTGGAAACAACAATAGAAAGCAGCCCATAAGGTGACCCGTCCCAAAGGGGTTGCAAACTCTGATCGCCCCCATCATATTTTCTGCTCAATTAAGTTTGCAAACTTGGAGTTTACTTTACCATTGAATCGCCTAATCTCCTTAGTAGCGCAGCCTCGGGCAGTTACGAAGCGGCCATTGTTCGGTCCATTACATTTCTCAAGGGGCTGGACAACACCGAGCCGAATGGCGACCACGAGAAGACCGCAGCCAAGGAATCAGCAATCAATATTAGGCTGATGTTGAGCGTCATTTGTATCGGTCATTGAATATGGCAGGTGCAGTCAACCATACCTGCTAACGCGTTTTAATCGTCAATAAACATGTCTGAATTGACGAGCTTGGGGTGTGGGCTCCCATAGCTTTCCTTGCATGTCCCAGGGTCATCTTTATTAGTTGTTGGGTTCAACTGACGTGTTAATTTACTCACGTCTGTTATTGCTGTTTGATGGTTATAGCACAATGTCTGCTTTATGGCTGCAAGACGGGGAAGATTTACCGAGAGCTCGTCTGGTCTTTAATTTATTCCTGAATTCATTATTATCGAAAAATTATGGAAATAAAATGAATAATTGTTCTTATCTTTACCTGTAATTTCGTGGGTTTTAAATATTAAAATTCATCTAGTTTGCATTAATTTCTGTTAAATTGAATAAAATGACACCATGACTGAGTGTACAAAGAAAATAGCATTTACGAAATCAGCGTCTTCTGGACGAATGTTCTGAGCGACTCTGTGCCACGTGGAAGGTTTATAATGATGGGTTGTTTTTGTCTGAACACTGAACTTCAGTATATTCAGTTTGAATTTCTGTTAAATTCGTCAACTTGATGCTGTTTAAACATCAAACTTGACACCATTTCATTCACAAGCTAATTCATTCGCCAAGTATGTTTACAAAAAAGTATGGTGTCGTTTTAAAATGTAACTCTATGCGTGGATGTATGGACAGGAAGTTGATAATTTTGTCATTAATTTCTCAATATTGACATGACGCGTCAGTACGTCAATGTGTCCTAATGTTCCTGGAGACTGAGTGAGTACTGGGAAGCTGTCTAACCCAGTATTTCAATTACATCTTAATGTGCGAAGGAAGCCCAGAGTGAAGCTTGTAAACGTTTACTACACTGGTGATAACATTGGACAGTATTTAACAATACCTCACTTTGTTGTTACAAGGTCTGTGTTGTAATCATGGGAAAACTGTAAAGGTATTTTATAGCTCAAAAATGTGAAGGATCACCCGATTCCTTCACATTGCAATAGGTAATCATAACATAACAAATTAACCATAGTGTTATGAAAAGGTGGGTTGATCTTTAACTTCATTTGGGTATAAATTGTTTTCCAATTAACGTTATACACATATGCAAGGTACACATTGTGATTTATCCTAACGACTTCACCAACCACCTGCTGGTGAACTGTCATATGTTATTCCAAATCATGTAGTTTTAATTCTAGTTACAGTCCTCATTTTATTTCAATAGGTGTTTCCTTGATACACTGTGGAGGTACGCTTGAAACACTGTGGAGGTACGCTTGGGTAGAACGTTGAATTCTGACTTTTTTCACATCGAAACATCGAGTGAGTGAATGAGCGAGTGAGTTTAGTTTTACGCCGCCTTTAGCAATATTCCAGCAATATCACGGAATAGTGCTTCTCACATTGTACCCATGTTGGCAATCGAACCCGGGTCCTCCACGTGACGAACGAACGCTTTAACCACTAGGCTACCCCACCGCCCCGCTGAAACATAGAACAAAGACAAACGTGGGGAGGGTGCACGAATACGCCTTGTTGTTAAATTCTGGGGGCATCATCTTCTAGAGTCACAACATTCTTCTGTACAAAACAGATATCTGCTTTCACAAACCGTCAATTATTCAAACAATGAATACACAATGCCATTCAGAAAGTTATCAAATGCAACACATGCTATATTTGGGATTACACTGTCTCAATAAAGTACCTCTCCGGGACTCGGTACATTACTGAGAAAGTGTAATCCCAAATAGAGCATGTGTTCTATTCAAATAATGTGTGAAACCGATTCGGGATAAAAATACATCGTTTCATCCGTTCAGATAGAGACCCTGATACCAAACTGCCAGCATACACCCATACTTGGCCAAGTCGTATTCCGACAATTATCTAAGCTCACACATCAAGATAATCACGAAGCTATTTTTGTCCATTTCATGTATATACATGAATTTTTAACAAAACAATCCCGAAATATTTTTTTATGGAGAGACTGGTCTTAACATAGAATAATTCGTAGAGTGTAAACATAGTTCATGAGTCGGTTGCAATATTAAAAAAACATGTTACTGTTCTGAGGAATGAAAGAAGTGGATATCTCGCTTTTAAAACCTGTTCTTAGCACGTGGACTAATGACATAATCAATTAGCACAATCTCTCATCAATCAGAACTCTGACATCTCCATTCAGACCGCTTCCATAACAAAAACTATATGGCACACAGCCTGACTGGGAACACGTGCCTTTAACGGTAAACTTTGGAAACAGTGTCATACTGATAATCCATTTCATGCGTACTCTGTGAGCTTTTATTGCAATCATCCTTAGATAAAGTGATTAAAGTGTCAGCCACAGACGTGTGTGGTGTGTTCCACGCCAATGGACCAAGTCGTAAAATAGTGAACAATTAGTGATGCCCTATTAATAGGTTATTGATACTGAGATAAGCACTATCGACAACTTCATCGTACGTATCGTCATATTCCCTGGAACAGCTGGTCTCGCTAAGCGTGTGCGATCGTCATCATGGCTATCATGTGATGATAAAACTAACGGGATTAACGCGATTAGATGAAAATGCAAATATTGTCGATGGTTTCCCCGATCCTCTTTGAGA